TACATCGACCACATATTTACTCCTCACCAACATTTAGAGCGGAGACACACATACAGGTGATCAAATATAATGTGTTTCCTTGACTTAAAAGTCGCATTCGACTCTGTCGACCGCGTCAGTTTGTGGCACTGCTTATCGAAAAAGGGGGTGCCAGCTAAAATCCTTGCTATAATAAAATTCCTCTACCGTGATTCCCGAGGTCGTGTAAATGTCTACGGGAAACTGTCTCCTGAGTTCACCATGACAAATGGGATTCGACAGGGTTGTCCTATATTCCTTTCCTCTTCAACTTTATGATCGAAATGACCATGAATGACCCGGTTCTTTCACAGCAATCTGGAGTAGAAGTTCTGCCAGGCGACCGACTGAGAAAACTGGAACATGTGGACGATATAGTCCCCCTTGGGTCCGATGCACTGGCTATACAAACACTACAGCACATACTTGTGCATAACGCTGCACGCTTCGGCACGCAATCTGCATGTTCAAAGCGCAAAGGGCTATTTCAGAACTTGGCCGACACACATCTGTCGCAACAAGCCTGGACCTTGACGTGGTGCGACGGTTTGCGTACATCCTTGACCCATTGAGCTATACTGGGTAGTGCTTGCGGGCATCTTAAGAGATACTACTACCAGGTTGGTCAATGGTGAGAGGTCAGACAAACTCAATCTCCTCGTCCTATATGTTAAAAGTTTGAAATGGGATGGCGTCCATTTCTTTAAAACTAAATCATTGCCACCTCCCGCTGCTTTGCGGACAGGTTTTTTCAGCCAAAGGCTTTGGATGAGGACCCTAATCGTTCTCCTGTCTAGGTCTGGGCGCCCTGGCAGTATCGCAGCCCACAAACAACCATGACATTTTCTTCAAACATAAACTTCATCCTGCATCGGCCGTCGCGCAGATTATCAAGGGTCGCCTTATCTGCTGCATACAGCAGGGCGGATAAGCCAAAACATGCTACTGCTGGAGCCTCCCTTCCTTCTTTTCCACCTTTTTCTCTTACTCCCATCCTGACCCCATTACTAACCTTCCTTCTATAATTCCCAGCTTAAGTGACAGCAACCGAGGTGTCACTGGAGTACAACCATCTGCAGCCACCTTTTCGGGACACGCACCGGACGCCTATCGGTAACAGTCCCTTTACAAGACCACGCTGTCCCGTTTCCATTGCAACTTTCGCACTCTAAGACAAACAGGTCAATAGGCTGCACTCGCACGTACCTTGGACACACTGGGTATTGATGTGTGTTGTGTGTCCGAAACTAGGATCAATGACCCTAACGGGGTTATTTAATTAACTGTACCTGGCTTGTCCTCTCGTTATTGGTTGCACGCATTCGGAGACGCCGATGCAGCACTCACGGGTCAAGCTGGTGTAGGTATCATTCTAAGCTCCAAGACTTAACCATCGTTGGTCGATTGGATTCCGGTGAACAGCCGTTTATGTGCAACCCGTTTGACGACATCAGCTAAGGTTGATTCACAAACTAGTACAAAATGCTGTTTGTGATTTTCGCTTATGATTCCACTGACTGCTGTCAAAAATACATTCTATCACGAACTGAACGGGCTACTACGCAGTGCTGCTACTTCAGATATTATAGTACTTGCAGGGGATACGAACGCACAACTAGGGCGTCTGAGCTCTTCAGAAGCTCAGCTGGGTGGTAATTATAGGCTTAACTCCGAACGGACTGACAACGGCGAGTGTCTGTTGCAACTGTGTGCGGAGCACCAGTTGTTTCTTAGTAGCACTGCTTTTAGACACCGTGGCGCCTAAGTGCCACTTGACGTCCTCCTGTAGCTGGCTATCGATGGACCCAAATTGACCACATAGCCATAAGTTACAGAAATAGAGCAGGCAGGAGCAGTAGGCAATTACCGTAAGCTCTTCCAACTGATCTGCATCACTAGTCCCAGGATACCAGTCGTCAGTGAGGCAATCAGAGACCGCGCGGGTGCACTGATACACAATAAGTGGCGCCATATAACTCGTTGGGCGGAACACTTTCAAGATCTGTTCAGCTGGTCCCCTGCTCCCGGACCTCTTCCTACTCAGGTGAAGCAGGACGAACCACGAACGATTAGATTAGAGCCTTTGTCCGAGACCGAAGTCCAAAACGCGGTCAAAACCCTTAATCGTTTTTGTGCCGTTGACCCGAATTCCCTCCCATCTGCATTATTTAAAGCTGGAGGTGAGGTCCATTGCAAAGCATTGACCTAGCTATTCGAACGTATCTGGAAGGAAGATAGTGTCCCTGCTACTCGGTGCGAATCGATTAAATTGGCTCTCTACATGAAGCGCAACCCCACAGACTGTTCTAACCTCAGGGATATTAGCATAAGGCCAGTTGTGACAAAATTACTAGCATCGATTATCGTTCGTCGCCTCACTGCGGAACGGGAATCTCGGATTGGGGAAGAGCAGATGGGTTTCCGGACAGGGCGTGGCTGTATAGACCATATATTCACTTTGCGGCAGGTGATAGAGCAGCGCCACGCATACCGCAGATAGACAATAGCTGTGTTCCTCGATTTCAAAAGTACGTTCGATTCAGTCGATCGATCGATTCTGTTCGAAATACTTGCGCGGAATGGTGTTCCCACGAAATATGTGAACATCTTGCGTGCTCTATGCTCGAACACTACAGGCCGCGTCAGGGTCTACGGTGGCCTATCGGATAGCTTTCCGACCACAAGTGGCGTCATCAGGGTTGTTCGATTTCCCCATTTTGGTTCAATTTCGTCCTGGATTCTACCATGAAGTGTTCGCTTGCGGAATCTAACGATGTAGGCGTTGAAGTGTTGCCTGGTGAAAGTGCAGCTGTTCTTGACTATGCGGACGATATCGTCTTGCTTTGCGACGATGTTGCGGCGGTACAATCAACCCTGAATAACCTGTCTAGAGTGGTCCCATTATTTGGTATGCACTTGGCACCTTCAAAGTGTAAAGTGTTGCTGCAGGACCACCAGCCACTTGATGACCCCTTGACTCTTGATAACGAGGAACTCGATGTTTTTGATCAATTCACTTATCTTGGCACCTGCCGCAGCAATGATGGGTGCATAGAAATGGACGAGAGCTCACGCATTGCAAAGGCCAGAGCTGCCTTCTTGAACTTGCGGTATCCATGGCGACAGAAGGGAGTTTCCCTCCGTCTGAAGGGCCGCGTCTACAGGGCCGCAGTGAGGGCCGTTCTGCTCTATGGTTGTGAAACTTGACTCCTTCGGTCTGAAGATCTGAGGCGCCTTCAAGCCTTTGATCATCGTTGTCTGCGAAGCATTGGTGTCGGATGGCACCAGCATGTCCGCAACGATGATGCGCGTAGGCGAGTACTAGGTAGTGATAATAATGATAGCTCCCTAGAACAACAGATGGCGCTGTATAAGTTTTGTTGGCTCGGGTACGTGCTACGTATGCCTGGTAACCGCGTACCTAGGAGGGCATTGTTTAGTCTACCAGGTTTAGGGTGGCGCAAGGGTCGAGGTGGACAGTTGATAGCCAGCTGTTTGCGAAGGTATGTTGTCTACACAAGGTGTGGGCACCTTGGCACTGAATGTTTGCTTAGAGCATTAAGGTTTTCAGGTAAGTCCCCCTTCTCTTCCTCATATTATTCTTTATTTCATAGGTCATCGTGGTGGTATGGCAGCGAAGCAACAGGTTAAACGGATGATGTACTGCTGTTGTTGATTGATTGGTTTCAGCTATTTCCGAACTGCAACTGGGAGTGGTGGATCGGTTATTGTCCCTTGGTAGCTGTGTCACCTCTGGTGGCCGCATCCCAGAAGTGGTTACTTCGCGTTTGAGTAAGACCCGCGTGGCTTTCCAGAGGCTCAACCATCTGTGGAGATGGCGGGAAATCAGCCTTCCAGTGAAAGGTAGAGTGCATAACGCTACGATACGTCCAGTGTTACTGTATGGATCAGAAACATGGCCAGTTCCCAATGAAGACATTAAACGTTTGGCCGTGTTTGACCACCGGTGCTTGCGAAATGTTGCTCACGTTTGGTTGGAACGCCGTGTGAGCGATGCTAAGGTCCGCCAGTTGGTTTTTGACAACAAGTCTTCTGGTACCTCTCGAGTGTTTGCTAACTCTTAGTCGTTTGTGTTGGCTGGGCCATGTCTTCCGTATGCCAGTTGACCGGCTTCCTCTGCGTGCGTTATACACCGTGGCTGTATCAAGTTGGGCGAAACCTCAAGGTGGCCAGTCCCTGACATGGCATAGAAGCTTGAAGATATTGACTGAGAATTGGTCAGACTGGTGCGTGTGGTTTTCGTGGATGGCCCACACCAATGGTTGGCGTTCCTGTCAGACATGGTGCAGTCACGCAGACAGTGACGTTCCTGCATTGGACTTCTTTCATCTGGTTGTTATTTTTCGTTCCATACTGATTAGTCTAACGCAATTCCTTATTCCTTCCATTTTGTTTACATGCTATTTGCCCTTAACCCCACTATCATGCCGTTGTTATTTATTAGTATTCAAACAGCGTGAGTCGTAGCAGCTGGATCGTCGTTGACCAACTGAAATGAACTTCGGCCAGTGGTAGATGACAGAGTAGCAAAATTCTAAATAGTCGAAGTTATGTGATATGTAAGGCGAGAAGAGCTTTATTCCGTCATTCAGTTAGCATAATTCACACACCGTTACTAAGGCTAGAGGAACACGGTCTGAATTAACACCGTTTCTTTCCACACCGTTAGAAGGCCAGAGGAAAGGAAACCTGTTTAATAGAGTAAGTACCGATCACATAATCAGTACAAAGACGCAAAGCTGATACACAGAACGAAAGAACGTTTATGCTGCCACACATTTCCACCAAGCTTTAATCGAGGATGCAAACATCTCGGAAATTAGCTACGCCACAGCGTTGGTAAAATGAAAACCGTAAATGATATAACAACGTGTAGTAGATCAATAGAAATAGGCCGTTTTTGTGCAACGTAAGCCGAAGCCAGGGTCGAAAAAGAAAAGCGAAATGGAAGTGATACATACCAGATTCCGAATTCGATCTCCCGTGACGAGCTAATGTGGGTTTCATATCGTCCAGATCATTTAACGGCATCGCGGCAATTGTTTCACAACCAATTCCAGAGATTGCAGAGGGTAGAGCTTTCCAGAGGAGAAGCAAAATTAGAACAAACTGGTGGACCCAATTCAGTTGTAGTGAAAAAACGGAAAATGAAATTGGGCTTATCCTCTGGAATGGGCATTCACTCGATACAACGGAAACGCGTAAAAAGCCGGTGGGGAGAGGAACAGATTAAGAGAACCTGAATTTCAAAACTTCAGTTTTGAAGCAGTGGTCAGACGAAGCACGAGAGATGCAGTGGGACACAGGACATTCGTTCAGGCTGTCTATCTTCTTGGTACTAAACCATGGTAACATAATTGTAGTTACTTTACGACAGAATACAACTGTTCAATTCCCTGCAAACCAAAAAGAACGATGCATGACCGAGTAATTTACCTTCCACTAATGGACCAGTTTATTTGGAGAATGGAAAGTGTAAAGTTGTAAAGTAGTTTTGGTTACGAAACCGATTACTCCTACGCATTGATGATGTCACCGCTACCTGTGATGAAACTTTTGCACACAAGGCACCCAACTCGCCGAACATTGCGTCAAATGAACACCCAACCCGAATTGTATTTCGTCTGATCAAAGATGCGCAAAACAGAAGTCAGCAGATGCGGCCTAAGCTCGGATAGAATTAGAGAGCAGCGGACTGTGAGCGCACTGCCACGCTGTCCCTGGATCAAATCAAAAAGCTTCAGAAAATTCGGCACTGTGACAGCGGTAGTCTGTGGGTAAACCAACCTATACAACACATGATGAGACAATAATCCGATGGAAACAGTTCAAACTATGCGCTATGCATCATCATTACCATCCCACGTGGGCAGGTGAGTAAGACCCTTCAGCTAGCATGAAGCAATACAAAAATGAAGCGGAAAAATGAGATACTAAACACAACATAAAAGCAAGAAAGTACTATGAAGCTTGGTAACATATTACGCGTCGGGTGTCAGATGGTGGTTGGAGGAGGTCGGCTCTTTGTCATGTCAACTAGTACAACCAACCAAATGTGTTTATCGTTCTTCGGACTGCAGACTGGCAGTGAGAAACACCAATCGACTCCGACTTCGAAGTGAGAGCCTCCACTTCTCTTGATCAAGTCATCACTTTGTCTCCTCTGCTCACAATCTCCGGTCGGGCAAACAACGCAGGAGTCGGAGAGCTGGCTTGTGCAGCACATGGCCAGCCATCCGACTATGGTACGTGGTATAAAAGTGCTGAGCGATTCACTCGATCTACCTGCATCAAATAGGAGAAGCCGAACGCGTTCATCGCTCATGCAGTGTTCACCCCAGACAGAAAGCACGCTGAGGCAGTGTTGATCGAAGATCTACCGAAGAGATGGACCAGGTTTTGCAGCCGTACAGGAGGGCTGAACGCATGGCTGTGTTGTAAGCCCTGACCTTCAGAGCGAATGTCCCGCCGGCGTCACAGGTGACGGAGATTGGCAAAAACGCCTAGAGCATTTGCTACACGGATCGTCATCTCATTTTCGATCCTACATGCGCTAATACAGATGCCTAGATACTTGGGTTACTGAATGACTTCTAATTGACCATCACAAAGTGGGTCTTTGCCAACCTTGGAGGACTTGCATTTCGAGGGTGCACAGTATAGCCCGAAACGACTGACAGCCAGAGCTAATTTGTTCAGTACTGCTTAGCACGTTTGACAGCTGTCATAAATAAGGGCAATGTCGTCGGTCATCTGGAAGAAGCTAAACGCATTGCACGTGGTGCTCACTGAATGCCAATGCCATGACTTCGTCAGTTAAAGAAGAAAGCCTGCAGCTTTGCAACCATGTCTAACCCCGCTGAAGATGTCAAAGGGCGGCGACAGTTCTCCATAAAGCTCTCGGCTCGAGTTATGCGAGTAGAGCACTTTTATGACACATGTGGTCAATACAGCCACGACTTCGACGAAACCCGACGTGCTCCTCACGAATGTGACGTTCAGAAATGCCCAAATATCTAGGGGTAACGACAGGCAAGCGACTTAGGAGCGAATGCAATTAGACATATCCTTCTATGGTTGGGGCATTGCAAATGTGAGCCTTCCTTGGAAAGTGGGACTAAAACAGAGGGGTTAAAGTTTGCTGGGACAGTCTGTCGCCCCCTATTAAGTTGCGAAAAATATCCATAAGAGCTGGTTCTCCGAATAGAAGAGCTGAAGTAAATCTAGCTGCTCTTGCGGCCTTATTTAATCTCAAAAGTATAATCACAAGCCGGACTTCTGAACGCGAGGGCAGAGTTAACGGCACGGCCTAGGCAATGCGATCAATGGTCGATAGGGAAGATGGTAACTTTGGCTAATTAAACTGCTTTGCAAAGTCTTCGGACTAACGCTACAAGCGGTGGATTGACTACCCACTCTCATCGCGTGGGGTTGCGTTTTCCGTACCAGACCAAATAACTTCCTATGGTTAATAAGAAAAACTGCCATTTCCATCTCCGATGCACGATGAAACCACCATGTTTCCCGGTCTCTCTTCTGTTTAGCATGCAGTTTTGCCCTGAAGTTTCTTCGGGCTTTGTTACATTTCCTTCCAGCCGGAACGTGTGGGCAAGCATCGAGCAGTTCTTGAGACTACGTAGAGACCCAATGAAAAAATCATCCGCAGTACGACGGTTCGTAGTACCGACGCTTCGCTGCAGCGCAACCACAGGCCGAACGTGGGCTAAGGATACTGCGAGGGTCGACCGGTCCTTACGTAAGCTCGAACCCGCGCCCACAGATCAAAAGGCAGACTTGTGGGCATTAAGGCTACGGGCCGGACATTTGATTCGCCAAATGGAAACATGCCGGTTGCTAAAAACGTCTGGCGAACATGCGACCAGTGATCGTCAACAGTCAGTGAGTGTTTGCACAACCCAAATGCTGTCGTACATTGATAGGCATTTAGAACATTTGGTTTCGCCAGCTGGCAAGTATCTATGCGTACACACCGTTTCGGACGTCCACCGAAACACCTATCAGTTCATTGCACACAAATGGTCGGAGTCCACGCTCGTACTCCAAAGAAGACGACAGTTTTGGACGCAGCCTCTCCAACGGTAACTGATCGCTATATGATCGACCTGCGGTCATGGCTGGTGGGCGTCATATTATGCTTCTGTGGGTGCTGTGCCGGGAGTAAGTGTTCGCAAAAAAATGAGCATCACAAATGTGCGCCAACCGCTCACCGATATCAGTACGGGAGTCCATACCGTGTTGGCTGCCCATATGCAGTCCATCAGTGGATAATTTTACAACTTGGAAGTTCAAATCACAGTATCTGTAACGAATAAGTCGTACAGCTGATGATAGAGGTCATCTCTCATAGAATCTACAGTTTGGGAGGGCATATGTAGCAATGAGAAACGGACACCGCTTGTCCCCGCTCGACTTGGAAGCATTGAACTTGGCAGTCAATCGAACGGTACACTTCCGGCTACTAACTTGGATTCAATCGATCAGAGCAGCTTCGACTTGGGTGCTCACAACAATGCTCAAATCGGCTTGACCGTCAGTTGAGGATGCGTCATCCATTGACAAACGCAGTGAGAAAGTACCTCAAATAATAATAAAATCGTCAGCTGTACACCGTAACGGTGCTTCGCTGCCGAGCGACCACCACAAGTCGCGCCTGGGATCGCAAGTTAAACACAGTGCTTGACTCTTATAGGCAGGTTTCCGACAAACAGCTGATTTTGATCGAGAGAGTCAATAGTGTTCGAGAGAGTGCCGCCTATCGGCCAAGCGGCAACAAAGTGCACACGTTGAGGCATGCCAGTCTTAAAGAAGATCCAGAAACGGATGAGCTAACGCTGTCCGCTTGGTTGAACATGGATTTGTTGACTGGACCACAGGGGCGAGCTGCGGTTGCGTGCGTTAAAACTGGGTGACAAACGCCCATCAAAGCAAGATGGGGGGGGGCCAAGGATTGGGGGTTGAAAACAGGGGGATAAAAGTGAAGTTGAAAGGGGACGATAAGGATGAGAAAAAGTAGGTTGAGGAATTATAAGCCGGGAAGATTAGAGCAGTAACATTCACCCCTATCCACTTTGCTCGATGCAGCAGATAGGGCACTGTTGATTATCCTCTGCGACGGCCATGCGAAGTGAAGCCGAACGAACTAACAGTGATGATAAAAATAAAACGACGGATATAAAATTAAAACGGGACTGGGGGGTAGTCCCGCTACGACTATATTCAGTCAAATAAAATGTAGACGCCGAAATGAGATGAGTTGCCGTTACATGCCACAAACCCCGAGAAATATAAACACAACCATCCCCTTACGATGCAACAAAGTAAACCAGGGGATAGGTTAACGGAATCAGTGATTATACCAAACTCGTAGAGGTAACGCCGACCGTAAATTGATGATGAAAGAGGCGCCAAGAAAACGATGTAAACTAATTCCATCAAAAGTTTGCAATATTTTTTCTTGTGCCTGCAGAAATAGCATCGACCCGCCTTTATGAGGACTCGTCCGATCAAGTGTGTTACACGGGTGCACGTCAAAGCATTTTGTGACTATTGGTGAGCGCTACTTATTCACCAACAATTCAACACAGGCACGTGCAGTAAAATACTCAGAAATGAAGTAACGTTAACGGAACGGGTAGGTACTTGATGTGTTTAGTCTGTCTTATGAATATATACGATTAAGTGTTTCGGCACAAGATACAAAGAAACTACGCAGCTCGCCGAGATGGCCAGTAGCGATCGAATTTCCATTCCTCGCGTGCAAGCAAAATGTGACTGAATAAGAGCGCATTCTTAAGACTAGCGGTATTGGTAGTTAAAGAGGGGTGAAGATTGAGAAATCCTCAGATAGCGCTCATCTCCCGCGAACAACTGTCATGAACACCGTGTCATGGTTCATCCGACCGATCACCTATGGACACAGGTGTAGATGTAAGTCAGTTTTGCCATCTCGTATGACCAAGAGATTGTTGATCTTCACAATAATAATAATAATAACAACAACAGGGATAATTCCAAAGGAATGGACATGAATTAAAATAATCGAACAGTTAATAGTTGG